CCTGGTCCTACAATCGGGCAGCAACCAGAAGGGGAGGAATAAGATGAAAAGGAATGGATAAGTGAAATGCCAGTAACTAGCTTTTGTATGACGCGGTATGGTTCACCTAGTGGTTACGCTATGAATCGACTCCACGGCAACGGGTTTGGTGTTTTGGTTTACATTTTTCTGTCTCGTTTACTCCACAAAGCAATCCTGTAAAGTAGGTATTATTATCCCATTTTTCAGATGTGAAAACTGAGACTCAGCAGTTAATGACTTGTTTATCTGTCCTGGGCCATACAGCAAATCTGAGCCTCTCAACTCCAAAGCCAAAAAGTAAGGGGAGCAGGAAGGTGTAAGGGCCGGGAAGAGAATGAGAGATATGGAAGAGAGAGACAGGAGAATGCAGGTCAAAGGGTCAGGGCAAGAGAGCAAGGCTTAGAGAGACTGGCTGGGATGGATCATGCCCCAAGGTTGGTAGGAGAGTAAACTCGGCCAGAGGAGGAGAAGCAAAGTGATAGGTAGTGTGAGGAGGTTTGGAGGGAGAACAAGAAAGAAACGGACTAAATAAACTTCTATAGTAAATACTTTGCACACCATTTAATACCAGTTGCCCTGGAGTCGACTCCTACTCATGGAGGCCTCACGCGTCAGGGTTAACTCTGCTCCATACGGTTTTCAATGGCTGATTTTTTTTAGAAGTAGATGGCCAGGCCTTTCTTTTAAGGCACTTCTGGGTGGACTTGAACCTCCAACTTTTCAGTTAGCAGCTGAGCACGTTAACCATTTGTACCACCCAGGGTATCCCACATTACCTAATAATGGCTAAATGAATGCTTACCATGTGCCAGGCATTATGCTAAGCATGTTATTGTGTATTCAGACAATCTTCACAACCCCATGAGGTAGATATTACCTTTTTACTTTGCGGAAACAGTCATACTGAGATTAAGTAACGTTCCCAAAGTACCACAGCTGGTGATCCTGCGCTCTTAACCATAGCTCAACCCTAACTTCCTTAATCGTAAAGATCAAACTAGTCAGTGAGCTCCTTGAAAGAGGCACTGGGCCTCCATCTTTTCGCTCTCCTCCCATGGTACCAAGCAAAGGGTGCTCAGGTTTCACTGAATGAATAATGGACAGGAAAGTACATTTTAAACTGATGAATGCTGTGCTAATGTAAGGTATAATTAATTTTGCACCTGCTGCAGTCTCATGTTATGCCCTCTTTGTGACCCTGGAGCTAATGGAAAAGTCTTAATCATTGGTCTGTTTTGCCTGCTATTTCAGTTGCCTTTGGCTGGGCTTCTGTAGTTCTTTCCTGTATCTCTTAGGGCACAGAGAGCGTACATTGGGTTTTACATAAGAATAAGACAGTGTTTTGGTGTCTCGCTCCAAAATCTATCCCGAGAGGTTTATTATTTGTTGGCGTTTTTGTCAGCAAGAGAACACTGGAAGTCAGAGTCTTTAGGAAGGAGTTTGTTGACAAAGAGGCCTGGATTCCTTTTGAGTTATAACTGATAGTTCACATTAAAGTCAGAGTAACTTGTATTTACTTCATTTACTTATTCTATATCTAAGCGTAATGTGTCTTCTGAATGTTGTTGTTAGGTGCCGTCGAGTCAATTTTCAACTCATAGCTATATCTGACAGAATAAGTTCTCAAATATTAATAAATTTGAGTTATTTGTCTTTTATACTAGCTGCTCTCCATTTTACATATCCCTCCCACTCCACCCTTTAATGCCTAACACACTACCTGGTACAGAGAAAGGAACTCAACCAATGCTGGTTGAAGGAAGCAGTTCAGCCATGAAATTTGTACCTGCCCAAGGAGAGGAAAGGACTGACAAAGGACTAGCAAGAGCGCGAGAGGAACGCCAGGGGGAGCAAGAGTCTGTGCTCACCAGATCTCGCGAGAGTTCCCGCGCAGGCTGCGATGTCGCGCGCTCTATTTTGGCGGAAACTCGGGGCGGGAAGGCAGAGCTACCCTAGGGCTCGC